AGTACACAGAGCCTCCTGGAGGAGCTGCGGCGCGCGTGGGCGCCGCTGGCCCGCGGCTGGCTGTCGTGTGGCAGGCTGCCTTTGGCGTGGCAGGCGCAGTGCACAGAGCCTGCTGGACGAGCTGCGGCGCGCGTGGGCGCCGCTGGCCCGCGGCTGGCTTTGGCGTGGCAGGCGCAGTACAGAGAGCTTCCTGGCTGCCTTTCACGTGGCATGGTACACAGAGCCTCCTGGAGGAGCTGCGGCGCGCGTGGGCGCCGCTGGCCCGCGGCTGGCTGTCGCGTGGCAGGCGCAGTACACAGAGCCTCTTGGAGGAGCTGCTGGCCCGCGGCTTGCTTTCGCGTGGCAGGCGCAGTACAGAGAGCTTCCTGGCTGCCTTTCACGTGGCATGGTACACAGAGCCTCCTGGAGGAGCTGCGGCGCGCGTGGGCGCCGCTGGCCCGCGGCTGGCTGTCGCGTGGCAGGCGCAGTACAGATGGCTTCCTGGCTGCCTTTGGCGTGGCAGGCGCAATACACAACTCATCACAACTTATCACATACCAACTCATCACAGCTGCTCCACTTCTCACACCTCACACCTCACTCATCACAGCTCCACTGCTCATCACAACTCATCACAGCTCCACTTCTCACAGGTCCACTTCTCATCACAACTCATCACAACTTATCACATCCCAACTCATCACAGTTCCACTTCTCACACCTCGCTCTCACAGCTCCCTTATCACATCACAACTTCTCATCACAACTTATCACAACTTATCCCATCATAGCTCCACTTCTCACACCCCTTCTCACACCTCACTTATCACATCAGAACTCATCACAGCTCCACTTCTCACACCTGACATCACAAGTCCACTTCTCACACCTCACTTCTCACACCTCCCCGAAGTTCACATTAAAATCTTACATACATAGAGGCTTGACATGTGGGGTTATCCGGTCCTTTTATTGCTTTGTTTTTTGTTGTGGCTTGCGGTTTGTTCACTTCTTTTTCGGGCGAAAAGGTTGCAAGTGGGCGAGTGTCTTTCCGGACCGCATCACCTTGACAGATTTAAAGTCTACCATCTTTCGATGATGCAGACAGCTTGGGCTTGTCTGTTTCATCCATTTGTTCTTTTCCCTTGATCTGCCGCTTGATGTTGCACTTACAACTCCTTCGATGAAGCTTCCGAAGTTATGCAATTTCATGTAATTCATTTATTTCTTCAAGTCGTTGATTCCTGCACTCATTCGCTCCTTCAGTCCTTCCTTCCTTCATTCAACCATTCAACCATTCAACCATTCAACCATTCATTCATTCCTTCCTTCATTCATTCATTCATTCGTTCATTCACTCATGCATTCCTTCATTCGTTATTCGTTCGTTCGTTCTTTCATTCCTTCCCTCCTTCCTTCCTTCCTTCCTTCATTCATTCATTCATTCATTCACTCAGTCATTCATTCATTCATTCATTCGTTCATTCGTTCGTTCATTCATTCATTCGTTCGTTCGTTCGTTCTTTCGTTCGTTCGTTCATTGATTCATTCATCCATTCATTCATTCATTCATTCATCCATTCATTCATTCGTTCGTTCGTTCGTTCATTCATTCATTCATTCAGTCAGTCAGTCAGTCAGTCCTTCATTCCTTCAGTCTTTCATTCCTTCAGTCTTTCATTCCTTCAGTCCTTCATTCCTTGATTCCTCCATTCCTTGATTCCTCCATTCCTTGATTCCTCCATTCCTTGATTCGTTCATTCCTTTCCATCATTCCTTCATTCCTTCATTCCTTCATTCCTTCATTCCTTCATCCCTTCATTTCTTCTTTCCTTCATTCCTTCATTCCTTTATTCCTTCTTTCCTTCATTCCTTCATTCCTTCATTCCTTCTTTCCTTCATTCCTTCATTCCTTCATTCCTTCTTTCCTTCATTCCTTCATTGCTTCTGTCCTTGTTTAAGAGCGTTTCCAACCCACCACAATTCGTATAGGCCATCTTCTTCAATTGTTTGAGACTTCCGCCACAGCACGGCCGGGCACTATCTGGTAGATCAATTGTGTATGCATACATATACATACATATACCATATTACAAGTCCATGGCATGAAAGTGGCAAGAGGCAAGCCCCCAAGCGCAAGTGCGCGCCGAAGCGACTTTGTGAGTCAGGCTGCTGCTGCTTTTGCAGTGTTTCTTTGATGTGGATGCAGAGTGTTTCGAAGCTCAGAACAATATGCTCACAAGGTTAGAGCACCAAAGTTTTCTAATGATTTGCAATGCTTTATGGTCACATCCCAACATAGTGATCCCCCTGTATTGCCGGGTTCTGACTGATCTGGACCTCGTTGGTACCAAGCAAGCTGTCGCCAAGAACTGTTTTTCGGTCTAAGACCACCGCAATCCACAGGATGTCGGCTGTCACAACCGGTGGAGTTTGGATGTAAAATTTCAGGTGGCCAAACTGGAATTTGATTTGTACTTTGTCAGCTTTCTGCGGACAAAATTGTTCCAGATTTTGAGCCAACGCCAAAGGCAGGTATATTATTATACAATGGCAATTTACACTGGTTGACAGTCGTCAAACATCCTGAAACCATGGATTTTTCTTTTTCGAGACATGGATGGTGGTGGAACGGCCTTGAAGAATCACAAGTACTCAAGACAGTCCTGTCAAACTGGACGTTCGGATCGTGTCTCAAAGACCCCCAACTTTTGATTCGCTGGGAGCCGCATACCCATACCATAAGTAGTATAGCACATCCCTGACAGGAAGTCATTTTTCAGACCCTTTTTCAGGTGTTTCTTGTACTTTTAGGCACCTGTGCTGTCCGATGTGAGGTGGTCCCTCGCCATCCAACTTATCCATTTTTCTCCCACACCCTGCGAACTGAGACGTGAATGAAGGGAAAAACGCTGAATGGAATTTCACACCGATGGATGACACATCTGGAAACCGACATTTTTTGAAGTTTCGTTTTGCAAACCGTGGAAATGCTCTGAGTTGCCTTGATGGTTTTGGCTTTGGCCAATGATCTGTAGAGAATCCTGCTGTCGAGTTGATCAACCGCTGTGGCCCGGCCAGGAGTTGAAGCCGCCGTCATCCCGGAAACATTGCTTCTTGGCAGCTTGATATGATCGAAACTGCGTATGGAGAGCGATTTGAGCTTTGACCTGGACCGCTGCTTCAAGGCTGGAAAGCCAAAGGCCTCAACCGAAGATTTGCTGAGGTCCGGGTGAGGAAAACAGGGTTTTGGAACCGGCAGTTTGAATTGTGTCTAGTAACCTTAGTAGCTTTGCTACTGTTTGCTTTTCAGAATTTGCTTTCTGCCTGTGCTGATTGCAGGCAGAACCATTGTTTGAACAGTTCTTTGAGGCAGAAGGAACCACAGCCCCCGCAGGCTTCCTGCGGGGGCTGCGATTCCTCCTGGTGGTCTCAAACGATTGTTCAAACAACGCTGCAGGCTCGCCAGACTGCAGGCTCGCCAGATTTGAAAGAAAACAAATTCAAAGCGTGGTCTTGGATGTTGCGCGTGGCGTTCTCGCGTCGACCAGGGGGCCAACCACCTTGGACCCTGGTCATGATTCACAAGAATGAACGTTTTTTTGGAGAGGGGGGAGCCTTTTTTCATCTCCGTGGTCGGTGTTTTCCAGCCCAGTTGAGGCGTGAGCAGTGAGCACTGGCAGCACGGCGCTGTACTGTTCACGCCACGGCTAATGCAGCAATGCGACTGGAGTGATGCGATTGCCTCCTCACTCGATCCGCTGCGCGGCTTTGTCCAGTTTGACCCAAAAATGGTGGCCATTCTAGCGTGAACAGGGACAACAGAGATCTAGATCCATCCTTGGGAGTACGGGATGTGCGGAATGAATTTGATTCAACTCCATCACCTCAAGATGTTGCAGGGTTTTGTGGTAGCTGTTCAGAGTTCTGCATTTCAACAAGTGATGAACCTTTTTCGTAGCAGGTCCACCTCAAGGCTTTCTGCCCTCCCAGATGTTACGAACATGAAGATTCAGGGATGCCATGCTGCAGGTTGTGGCGGAAGGTTTTAGAAGTTCAAGACGAGAACCCCTTATCCCTCTGGGGCGGACGGTCGACCAAAGTTTCATTACGGGTTTAGTTGCTTGTTTAAGGTTTATTCAATGTTGGATTTATTCTTAAGGTTTGCTTAGGGTTTTCCTCAGGGCTGGTTTAGGGTTCACTTAGGTGTTATTTGGGGTTGTTTTCAGGGATTTGGGATTAAGCTGTGATTGATTTGGGTTTTGTTTAGTGTTTCATTTTTGTTTGGTTGGATTTCCGAATTTTAGGGTGTTACGGTTTGTTAAGTGTTGCCATTTACAGCTAGGAATCTTTCAAATTAGGGAGAAGATGCGAAAGACATGGTTCAAAAGGTTCGCTTAGCATCGCCTTAAGGCAATCTCAATCTTTTTGTATGTTTCCAGATGTTCCCGGTGATACTATACATACAGAGAGACATGAATATAGCACTCCAGATGTGGGTATGCTATATAATTTAAGACCAAGGGAAATGGTTTCAGGCCCCTGCCTGATTGAGTTCCCATGCGATCTGTGCTATGTTTGCGACATGTGTTAAGCCTTGCGCGGGAGACTATGCCAGGACATAATGACAAGTCTTCAAAGCTTATGAACCAGGTATATCTCCATGTTTTTTGGTCGCTCTATACTACGTATATATATATATTTGTATAACATATGATTTATGTATTATATAATGTAATTTAATATGCATATCTCCCGTTCTGGAGGCTAAATCCTGCCATGATCAGACAAGCCGATCTGGCGCATGGCTGGATGATTCGCAGTTTCCATTGGCTCAGCCGGGGCGAGTTTACCCTTTGTGTGTTGGCAGAGGTCATTTGCGGATCCCAGTTTTTGATGGACAAGATGCCACCGGGAAAAAAATCACAAACGGAGTAGATTTTTTCTGTGTGCCATCTAAGTGGGCCATCTGAAACTGTCGAGGGATCACGATATCATCCAGTGGCTCCCGGGCAGGTCGTATGGGGGGCCAAACATCTCAACCTTTGAAGGCGTGGAACGGTGGTGGTTGAGGTTGGCCTAAGATCAAACATGTAAAAAAAAACCACGGATTCATGATGGAAAGGTATTCCCCGAAGGGTTCATGCCACCATGACGAATCCAGCATGAGTCACACACTTGCTCAGAACTGTCATTGCGAAATTTGTTGTGGAATGCATCTTACGTGCAACGACACCAGCAATCAAATGATATAATGAAACTAGATACATACATACATACATACATACATACATATACAGACACACACACATACATACATACATACATCCATCCATCCATCCATCCATACATACATACATACATACATACACACATACACACATACACACACATACACACATACATTACATTACATGTATATATATTTATTTATAGATCACAGGAGATGATGACGATATAAACCAACAGCGATACAATATAGGTTCCCCAGCTGCGACTTAAATGCGCCCAGGGGCGGGGCTATATATATATATACATATATATATATATTGATATGTATCCACATTAAGCTGCAGGTACAGGAAACCGGCCACGTTTCCCTTCCCACTCATGCCCACGGCTTCGTTGCGTGTGGTAGGACATGAGTGCCACACATGGACATTTATGTATATGTCTATATATATATATTTATATATGCATGTATGTATATATCTATACATATGTGTGTTGAAAAGTTTTTGGGCAAAAACATGTATATGTTTAGAAAACACGTGTCAAGATACATAGATGAACGTATATACATCGATTAAAGAATGTGGGCACAAAAAATGCCCATATGTCTCTATACATTTGTATAGATATCGATGAAATCGATATGTATTTTGATGTGCGCATGCATGTACATAAGTGGTAACGGTGTACATATGTATCTGTTAATGTGCGTGCGTGTGTGTGTGTGTACCATCTGTAGAGATGTAAAACTTTCTAATCTGCAGGTATGTAAGAAAAACTACGTCTATCTGGGGTGCTCAAAAATTGGCCCAGAAATGCCAAAGGCATTGCGCCAGGTGACTGGAAGTGTGCTTCGAAAAGCGGGAGAACCTTTGAACACACTTGGCTACCAGGCAACGTGAATTGAGAATCTGAACATATCTGAACTTTAGAAGGTTTAGAAGATGTGCCGCCACATTTTTCCAAATTCTATTTTCACTGCAGCATGCCAAAAGAATCCTCTTCGTTTTCCACTGAGTTTTTGGATTAATTGTAAGACCCTTTTGAGGGGTCCTTTGTGTTCGCGAGCTCTGCGTTGTATCAAATTTTTGAAACCGGGAAACACTTGGAAAATTTGCCGACATTCAGAAAACACCAAAGTTCACCGTCTCCACATCTTACTCTTTGTCTGGTCGGTGGTTCACGAGGTTTTGCATTTTCTTTCTTATCCTTGCACTTCCCGCGTTTCCAAATTGATTTACCGAAATTCACGTTGAAACCGCCCCCTGTTTTGGTTGATGCTCTAGAAAGAGATCCAATGCGACCCCATTTTGAGCCCAACGTGCCAGAAAGTTCACGAGAAGGCGGTGTTCCCCACAGGATCCAAACCCGCCAGGGCCTAAGTCAGCGAAGGGGATTGGATCAGCCAAACACATGGGTCCCACATCGATGTTTGTTCCATGGGTCCTTACCTTCATTCAGATGGGAATCGACGTTCATGGAGTTTCGCGGGTTAAATCATTCTGAAACATTTAAGGCATCATAAGCCATAAGCGTTTGGAAATCATGCCAAACAGTTCCTGGAATCTCACCATGTCATTTGGATATTTTGGATCATGTGGTGCAGCGGTACCAGAGAATTCAATGGTTGCTTTGGTTTCCTAAACGCCACGATTTGTGAGCGGCGCAAAATAGCCACCAGTGTGACCAAAAGTACATCGCTTCCAAAGACTGGGAGTTCCTATTGCTGTCCGTTTGACGGACCTCAAACTCCCATCAGGTCCGTGTGACGGTGTGCCGTTGCTGGCAGTCGCTGCGCTTCCCGTTGTGCGACAACACGTCGAGTGCTTGGAGATGCTGCAATTATATGGTGATGAAGACCCAAGAAACGCAAATGGCTATGGATCAATACCTATAGATACATTTTTAGTGGGATGAACATCCATTTACCAGCTATTTTGATGTTCACCAGGGGTACAAGGTTTTGACACACTGCCAAATCACTACAAGTTTCCGCAAGTTTCACCAAATTTCTTTTGGGGTGTGAATTCGCACAGTTCCCTTAAATCGGAGAATCAGTTCTCATGTGTTCTCAGCATGGATGTTTGGAACGTGGTACATGTGACCATACCTGGTAATAACTAAAAGCTTGCCATGGAAAATCAACAGTTGTTGAGACAAATCATTTGTCATCGAACCAAGTGAGGTCATTTCCTATAGCAAACTGTTAAATGATTAGAGGGTAACCACCACGAGCACTAGGCTGGTAAATCAGCGATTGTCCGTGCTTTCCGTGCAATTTTGTAGACAAACAGCACAAGCCAACGTATCACCGTGCACTGATGTTTGAATCCAGTTTCTGCTGGTGTGCACTGGTGCACCCAGGGTTTTACCTAAAGCATCCTGAAGCTACTGAACAATGACAACATGATCAACAAAGCTAGTTGTCAATAAGAGTTTGAATGCGGCTCAAAGAAGAAGCAAATCACAAAATTGAGGAGGGACTTAAAATGATTTACATGCGTAATAGCATAAATCAAATCGATTTTTGGGATGCTCACAATGGTAACAAAATGTAACGGGCATCCTGTGCCAACAAACTTCACACCATTTCACACGGCCATGGCGGAGCAGCTTTCAGTGGTCACTGGACAGGCGAAATTGGATGGTTGGTTGGTGGGGGCAAAGATCCCAAGTAGTATTTTTCGATATTTTTCGGCTTGAAACCGCATGATCATTATTGAAGTTATGCCTAAAACGTCCAGGTTTTCTGTTCTGTTCCTTGAAACTGTTGTTTCGCCGGCGTCAGAATAGCGAAGTGGAGTTTCCTTGCAGCGTGGTCCGGGCCCACAGACGACACGAGCAGGGGTGGTGTGTGTCTGATACTAGGCTAATCTAGGCTATCCCCAAGATAGAATAGCTGAATAGCTGTCTCTGATGGGAAAACATGGGATCGTGCCAATTAAATTGTTTGAACATAGTTCACCAGTAGATGGAGTCGGTAGCCTATTTAAAGACATATCATGGGTTTGGATCTGATTTGGCCACGAGTTGCCTGTGATCCTACTTGGGAAATCATATGGAATCCTTGCATTTGGTGATACAAAGCTCTGCCTAGTCAATTCAATGAACTGAAAATATGTGTACGATACATATCTATATACAGTATAATACATATATATGTATATAATACATAAAACACATATACTGTGTATATATATATATGTTTCAAAAATTATCATGATTTATAAACATATAGAAAAGTAATCATCTAATCTCGGATGTGACTTCACGGTATCCAGGCTTTTTGTGGCCCAGGTTTGGGCTCCAATCCCAGTGGTGTCCCATCTTTTTCCCATGATTGGGTCGGATGCCCAGCCCTCATGGGATCGCCCCAGCTGTGCTGAACTCTTGGCCCTTGCGTAAACCTGTCAACAAAACAACGCACAGGGCCAACTGTAGCACCCTTTGGAGTTGATTTATGCATTCAGCTTACTCACCTGCAGTTTTTTTTCCACATCTGATTTAAGAGATTGCCTGTGGCACTAATTCACCTTGCCATTCAATAAAAAAGGCTCGCAGCCGTAACTTTCCCATTCCCCTAAGGCACACAATGATCACTGACTCCAAGGCCGGCAGATCACCAAGTCAGCTGACGGTAAGGGGCACACTTCTCCAAAGAGGATTTCGGGTCCAAATGAGGCTCAAACATGCTCAAACCATATGTTGTATCCCAGAGCTAGTTCAACTTGGATGATGATCCCGAATGATCTTAAAGATCTTCCGGATCAGCGTCCCCAGCGTCTCCAGCGTCTAGGGCATGCTCTACGACTTTGCGGGTTTTCTTCCTGCTGGTGGGCGTTCGGGCGTCTGCCGCAATGTGGCTGGGATGCACTTGGACCATCGACTGGTTACATCATGTTATATCCGCGCTGTTAAGCACTCCTGGATGCGGCTCTGCATCGGTTTCAAGCCAATGCTGAAAAACGCCATTCCAAGCCACATTTTTTAATAGGGGATCTCATGGATCATTTGAGATCACCAATAACTTTAGTGGATGTTAATTGCATTAATGCTCTGCAGTGTGTTGTCACGTTGTCTGTCCAGATTTGTCCAAAAAAACTCAACTTCCTCTCACAGATGGATGAGCTCGCCCTCAGACACTGAGGTTGGCATTTTTGGACCTGGCGTGAGGGTTTTGAACATCAAAGCGCAGTTGAAGGCACGTGCGGAATCGTCGCTTAGATTTGTCGCATGGATTTGTACAAGAATGATACCCTCTGGTTATTTAACATAGCCATGGTATAGATGGCCCATTTATAGATGGTTTACCTATTATAAATGGTGGATCTTTCCATGGCTATGTTAGTCATAACCAGATGGTATATAATGATCATAATGTGCTGTCAGGGTGAACCCAAGGATACCAATAAACAATCCAACCATAACCAACCATTGCCGTCTTGGCATTATCCCAACGGTGCGGAAGAAAACACCCCAATTGGATGTACCTCATTACCATAGAAGTGATATCAACCAATACGTATCAACAGATATCAGCTGTTCCTTTTCTGAAGATATGCACGTTGTGGCAGCAGTCGTTTTTTTTCATGACAGTGTAGCCATGACATGGACACCTTGTTTGATGAGCGGCTCTAGACCCTGTTGGGGCTCTAGCATCAGGGTAGATACTACATGGAAGTCTCAACAAGCCTCACCAAAACGGGAAGATTCTTGAACCTCCTATAGTGTATCTATGTCCAGTATGATTACAATACTTATCATGATATCTATTCAAAATAGTTTGTAGATATTCCATGTCATCCCATAGTTTATCAAAATATCATGCTAACCCCCTGATTCCATCTAATTCCTATGAAATTACAAACTTGAACCAAAAGGGGAAAAAAACATGGATGTTTTCCCACGGTTTTCCTAAAGATCCATGGTTTTCCCCTGGTTTCGGGTAAAGATCTTCACCAGGCCTCGGAAGAAGAGTTCCAGGATGACTGGGACGAGGCTAGGAAGCCTTTCAAGGCTGTCTACAAATAAATAAATATATACGACTAATATGTGCACTGAACATGTATAATATATATATACATATTATACAGTGTGTATATATAGTATATAATATACATAATATAATTAATATACTATACATATATATATACAGTGTGTATATATAGTATACTATATATATACTATATCATACATATTTATATATCATTGTATATACATATATATATATATACATATGTTTCTTACATGTGTGTACAAATAAAATGCGCTATAGAAAATCATCTACATCCATTTGCAAATATATATATATACATACACATACATACATACATACATACATACATACATACATACATACATACATACATACATACATACATACATACATGTATGTGTATGTATGTATATGCCTGTTTCGTGATGTTTTCCAGAAGACTTCCACTTTTTAGCTGTGCCCAGATTTCCTGCTCTTTTCGAGGCAATCTTGGCGGCCAACAAGCGCTTCGAACGACAGGTTTCGTCCCGCACGGGTGGGCTCCACCTTGCAGTTTGAAAGTTTCAACTCACCTCATTTTGATTCACACATGATATATCCTGATATAGCTATATAAAGCTGTTGGATGTGGTATTTTAGTAGAATCGACTCGACGTATTGAAGGTAGACGGTAGACAACATTAGACAACATATGAACTTGATTTTACTTGGCGTTCTTTTTAACCCATGGGATTTATCAACAACATTCAACAACTGTTGGCTACGCCATTGGCTGTTACGCTGTTACGCTGTTACGCCATGCCAGGTCCATATGGGATGTATCAACAACTGCCACAGCCACATCGTCTTCGCTTTGAATCGGCTCCGTTGCGCGGCTCTTCCCAGGTATCGACGTCGACCGACGTCGACCCTGGTGTGTTTGGGCCTTTCCCAAACACCATTTGGATGAGAAATGATGAGAAATGATGAGACTGAAAGCGGCATCGCCAACAGGATATGCTTCAACAGCACATTGCATCATACAGCGTGTAGCAGCTGCGTAGTAGGACTGATTTTCGCATGGCTCGAGGCTCGAGAGCAGCTGAATGCACATAAATATACATAAATATACATAAATGCACATGGTATATGCACATGGTATATGCACATGGTATATGCACATGGTATATGCACATGGTATATGCACATGGTATATGCACATGGTATATGCACATGGTATGCACATGGTATATGCACATGGTATGTACATGGTATATGCACATGGTACATGGATGATGGTATGGCATGGCATGTGATGTAAGTGCGTTGAGGCCATTGTGCCAGGATGACCTTGACGGATCTTGACAGATCTTGACAGGTGGCTGCAGTGGAATTCCATCGTCCTGGCCATGGCCATACTGCTTGCAGGACGCTTTATACCAGGAAGAGGTGCGCCGCGCCCCGTTCCAAGCGTTTTTTTTTTTCGAAGTGTACTCTAAGTGTACGCTTGGTCAGAGATAGGTTGAATCAGGTTGAATCAGGTTGATACATATTGAATCATTTTGATAGAATTTGCAAGGTGGGGGGCATTGAATCCCTCTCGAGAAGTAGCATCGGTGGCATGGCCCCTGCCATGTACCTGGCAGGTTGCTGCTTTCGCGCATGGCTGCTCCCTTAGGGCCGGTCAAGATGGGTTTGTTTGGCTGGTAGCATGTTGTAGCCGCACCTTGCGGGGAACTTTGTACTTCCCTTCCTTGCAGAATTTTGCAGCTTCAGGAGCTTCAGTAGCTTATGACTTAATTTTTCCAACATCCTGAAAGTCACAAAGATTTCTTTGGAACTGAAATTGTCTTTGGAATGAACTGCCTAAGGTACTTCCTGTGGCCAGTGCTTGCTCTCTGGACGGGTTCCAGTTGAAATCACGACGTGGCGATGTGGGTCATCTACCGGTGGACAAGCAGCCAAGGGGCCAAAGGGGTCCAAAGGGGCCAAAGGTGTTCTTTTTACCACACTTTCTCATTGTGATGGCTTGAGCCATCTCCAAATCTCATTTTTTGGATCGTAATCTCCAGTGGACCCCAAAATGGGATCCAAAAGACTGGCCAGGTCCAGCTTGGATGATTCAGTGTCTTAGAAAGCCTTTGTGGTCATCATTTGATGCCTTGGCCTATTTCTGAGATTTTTAGATCTATTGGTAAGTATTAGATATAAGATCTACACTGGAAACTCTTAGAAATGATGCAAGTTTTGTCATGAAGGGGCAAATTGAGACATGCAGACACTGATTTGGTGGTTACTGCCTGGGGATGGGGTGAACGTGGCGCTGCCTGAATTGGGCAGAGTTCTGTTTAGAAGGCTTATTTTGATATTTTCCCAAAAAAAATAGGAGGCAAAGAACATGTTTAGAGTAGGAGTTCTCTGTTTAGAGTTTGTTTAGTTCTCTTTAGGTTTTTTTTTGTTTTACTTCTTAATAGGTTTGTTTAGGTTTGTTTAGTGTTTTGTAGGGGGAGTGAGGCCACCAGGAAAACCTATAGAAATCCAAAGAAACCTTGATTAATGGTTGGGTGTGGCTTATGAGTTCTCATTGGCAATAGTAAGATGTTTAGGAGGTTGTCCATGAACAATGGTAAGGCTCTCGCTTCGGGCGCCCACGCGTGCATCGCTTCCGGCGCCCACTCATGTATCGCTTCGGGCGCCTGCTGTAACTAGCGCTTTCTCACGTCTACGTATTGGTACGTGGTGCGTAGTAGGATCATCACCATCATCACCATCATCACCATCATCACCATCATCATCATCATCATCATCATCATATGTTTCTTCTTCTTTTTCTTCTTCTGATTATTTTACATGTTCATCATCATCATCATCATCATGATAGCGTCAGGAGAAGATCTGATAGCGTGACATCATGTTGGTGTGCAGGTGCAAGACAAGATCGTCTCATAGTGTAGCATATATGTCCTTGTGCAAGTAGAATGCTCCCTCCCCAGCCACCCCCCAACCAAACCCTAAAAGGCTGTTTCCAGTGAAAATGTAAGCAGAATGATCATGGGTGCCCAAAGTGATGCGTTCAAAGTGTGAGGAGTGTGCGATTTCTGGGGGGTGCCTGAAGTGATGTGCTTGGGGATACCCTAAGTGATGCGGGTACCATTAACAATGCAAGAGTTTGTTGAATCAACAGGAGGTTCCAGATTGGGAAGAGTGGACAGCAGCAGGGAAGTGATGGAAATCTCTTGTTGGGGTGCTGAGATCTTCAGAGTGGAACAGAGTAGGGGGCACAAGGAAATGATATAAATATTCTGAGGAATTTAGTGGGTTTTAGATTTCTATAGTTTGTTTTTTAAAATATTGCAGTGCATTTTGGAAAGAACCTATCAAATGAAGAGGGTAACAAAGGGTTTGAGATTGGATCATTATTGGACCGCGAAATGGTGGTTTCACAGGATGTTTTTTTGTGCATCCCGGGGATAATTCGCAGATCCCAATTTCACTCCTCTGCAGGATGTTGTTGAGATGCTGGGGCTGAGCAACCGATGTTTCCGCATTTTGGGGCGAAGCAGTTCCAATGTCAACTGCAAACCTCAAGCGACTCCTTTGCGGATTCAGTTCGAGGCAACCTGGGAGAACAATAATCAACTATCCTGGACTATCCTCAACATGTTCAAAGATGGGTAGTAAATGTAGTAAAAACCATCCCCACACATGTTATTGAATTTACGACGCCGAGGTGTGACTTGGATTTTCGAACCCATTTTCCAAATCATGGAAGCATTTCTAGATGAAACAGCGATTCAAAGAGCTTCAGCCACATTGGCGCAATGTCATCTTCGCCCAAAGCTGGCGACTGTCTATGCCTGGAACAAAATTTAAGCTGCGCCCGGCAAAGCATGTGGAGAATAGATAGAAACTAATATAATAGAAACTGATAGAAACTGATAGAAACTGATAGAAACTGATAGAAACTGATAGAAACTGATAGAAACTGATAGAAAATCAAATGGTTGTTTTTTTCGAATCACTGCAAAAGGCCGCGAGCAGCTGAATTGTTAGTACCCTCCGGCCAAATCTGGGTGGAAAACCCAGTGGATCTGAGGCATCAGCGACTGCAGAAGTTGGGCTGCAATGCTGCTTGGACCTGGACCTAAAAACCCTCGGATTTTTGACCCGGAAAAGCCAGATCAACCAATTTCGCCGATGCGCCTTGGGGCCTCTAAATCGACCAGATGTCGGATACCCTGATGCCCTGACAGATCCCCAACCGATTCCTTGTCCTTCTGACAGATCCCAAATGCGCAACCGATTCTCTGTTGAAACGCCAGGAAACACAGAATGCCGTTCGTGACATGCAAGATCCAGAAGGGGGTGTCTGAAAATGGGGTATACCCCAAAGTGACAAAGTGGCTATCGAAGTAAGGAAAATGATGTTATCTCAAAATAAGCCCCTTTTTTAATTTTGATTTTTAGTGGATTTGGAGTAGCCAGCCATTCGCCTATTGTCAAACTCTCAGAAGCTTGAAGCTGAACTGTTCGGCTTCTGCCGAAGAAAGCGAGGTTGGCCCAGTGATGGTGGAGATCAAGTCTGGAGCCATATCTGACCGCTAACAGAAGGACTTGGACTGACCAAATAGATCCAAGTTTAGCACCAAATAGCATAAGGGAATTCTCAGAGTGTCATGATGTGTCATGTAATTTGAAGATGATCATTTTTCATTGTTGTCTTGTGAGATCAAGAGAACACTTTGGAGATTCAGGCGCTTTAGGCGTAGCTCGGCAAACACAAGGTATTAATTGCTTTGTACAGACCATGCGCATGGACGTTCAAACCTGCATTCAAGATATGTTCAATATATACCATTTCAAAAACTAAGTGTCTCGAAGTATGCTGGTTCTGACGGTTCCATTTCTCGAGGCCCAAAGCTGTACCGGCCTCCCTGACAGCCATTGGCGCGGAGTTTACCTCGTAGCATGGTAATCCATGGCATTGGGAAGTGGCGAAAAAGTGGTTTGGCAAGGGCTTCATCAAGTTATGCGAATGAGAAAGGTCATGGAATGTGATTTTTCAATGACAGGCGGTCCAAACTGATCCTGTCCCTCAAATACTAAACACCCCCTACTAAGCCATGGTTTGGGGGGGGGCTTAGTAAGGAAAAAGGATTGCTCGAAGTTTGGGCGCATCTCAACCCATGGCCCTTTCTCAGAGATTGCCATATACGAAAAAGATCACCCGCTAGACTACGTATCCCAAAATGACAAGATCTCATGATCTCCAGCAAGTGAAACCAGCAAGTGATCACATTCACAGGTTCGAGGATTGATGGGTTTCACTTAGATGTTCTGCATGAGAACATGAAAGAACCATCAAGTGTGGTGGATTCTTCTCCAGCCGAAAGTCATCCGAGATACCCGGAGGAAATGGGACCCTTTTCCACTACAGCTGGCCAACTCACTGATATTTGCTCATATCCGGTAGTTGATAAGAACCTGTTCTTGGTGGTCATATTTGGTCATGGGCAGTCCTTAGAATCCGTACTTTTATGCTCTTGACGTGACATTTTCAGTAGCCATTCCGGTTGTTTAATCCAAAAAAACAACTTCATACCATGGTATCACTTCTAAGCCCAGACCATTCTGATGCTTGTCTCCTCATCTTCATCCCACGAAATGCGGGTCAAAACGCTTTTAGCATGGTGTTTGAACCTCTGATCTGAGATGAGTGTGGTTGATGAGAATCCACACCAGTGACCGATGTGAAACCAAGGGAGCAGAGGTTTGACCCACAGACACCTGGATTTGTTTTTCAATCAGAAACAATGCCTTTCCCATCAGAAATCTGGGAGAAAAATGGGGAGTTCCTGTTGGTGTTGTCAAAAACATCAGAACAACCAACGAAGCAACTCTAAAATCGCCACATCTACCCTCTGGTAAATTAACATAGACCCTGGCAGTCATCGGGGTTGGAAGTCTAGTGAAACCATTAAAAATGGGTGATTTTCAGGGTCCAACTGTTAATTTACCAGGCCGGGTACATCTCACCACATCTTACCATGGCCCAGATCTGCCAGGTTGGAGCGCAACCTGGTGCCGATGGCGCACGTGCGGTTACCTTAGGTGGAGTGGCTGGGGACCTCAGCGCCTGGTAGCGGCTGGGCGCCGAAAAAGATCGAAGTTAGGTAAAATCCCATTGAAATATACTCAAATAGTGATGAATTGATATGAATTGATATGAATTGAACCTTTTCTATCTTTTTTAGGAGGTTACTACAGTGTGTGTTATATTGTATGCTGGTTGTTGGGGTATTTGTTTTTTTTTACCGGCGCTCACAGAGAAAGTCATGGCACAGAACTGCACGCGAGGCGGCTCTCGTGACGGGTGCTGGCGTGGCCGGTGCGACTGGAAGCTTTCCCATGTGAGCCGAGCATGAGAACTGCAGCACAGAGCATGACGATGAAATGTTTGGGTTAGACATGTTGTTCGAAAGTCATGACAAAAAACCACTCTCAAGATGATTGCAGCAGACACTGATAAGGTTTATCCGTGAGTCCCGCATCAATACCCCAAATGCTCGACCAGAAACGACACCGAGACCAAGTGGCCCAAATTGACCCAAGTGACCCAAGTGACCCAAGTGACCCAAGTGGCCCAAGTGACCCAAGTGGCCCAAGTGACCCAAGTGACCCAAGTGACCCAAGTGACCCAAGTGGCCCAAGTGACCCAAGTGACCCAAATTGACCCAAGTGACCCAAGTGACCCAAGTGGCCCAAGTGACCCAAGTGGCCCAAGTGACCCAAGTGACCCAAGTGACCCAAGTGACCCAAGTGGCCCAAGTGACCCAAGTGACCCAAATTGACCCAAGTGACCCAAGTGACCCAAGTGACCCAAGTGACCCAAGTGGCCCAAGTGACCCAAATTGACC